ATAAGACCCAAATATTATTTATATGTTATAGCAGTTGTCGTTTATTAACATTATTAAAATACACCAGTAAAAATATCTTACCTTTGGATTAAGAGCACAAAAAAACATGAAGATTAAGATTCCCTGAAACAACAAGAAATACAACGTTTTTAGTGTTGACAGATAATCTTATGTTATGTAAAAGTTTAGTCCAAGTTAAAGTATACATAGACTAACGTTTTAGCAACATGATTGGAAACTTTTTTTTATCTACCTATTTCATAATAACTAGTTGATTATGTAGAAACACATACCTGAAGACTGTTAGTGAAGGCAAATACATATCGAAAAATGTCGGTAAAAACATCTTCAAAAGCCAGGACGCTGAAAAACCAGTTGACGAAAAAACAAGGTAGAATGACCATCCCAGTCCGGAGTAAAGTTCTTGAATAAAGTTGAAGTTGTTACTAAACATTTAGATTGTGGAAATGTCTGGTCTAACAATATGTTAGATTAATTCTTCAACTAACCTTGGAATTGTTACTAAACATTTAGATTGTGGAAATGTCTGGTTTAACAATATGTTAGATTAATTCTTCAACTAACCTTGGAATTGTTACTAAACATTTAGATTGTGGAAACGTCGGGTCTAACAATATGTTGGATCAATTATTTAACTGTATGACGGAGTGAACACATTAAACAGAAGCAGAAACAAGTGAACTTTTGAACTGGTAATTAATTTTCAACTAACTCCATCTTATAATATAACTCCATCTTACCGGATCTTCTCGATCTCGCTTTTCGGTGTCACCGAACGTAATGCAAAAAACTTTTTCATGGAAACGAGGACAAATACGGTGTTTAGCTGGAAAAGACGAGACAGAAAAAATTACTTTGTATGTGGCAAAGTTATCGTGAAAAATGAGATCCGTCCGTAAGAAGAAAGAGATTTAGATCTGAAGTGATGAATATCCGGTACTTCCAACAGAAGAGAAATTTCTGGACGAAACAAATCTCAATTATGTTCGGCATGCATGCTACACTGAAGTTACACCAGAGAACAGGTCCCTGTGATGTTTTAGTTAAATGATCTGCACGCTACACTATAGTTACACCAGAGAACAGGTCCCTGTGATGTTTTAGTTACATGATCTGCACGCTACACTATAGTTACACCACAGAACAGGTCCCTGTGATGTTTTAGTTAAATGATCTACATGCTACACTATAGTTACACCACAGAACTGGTCCCTGTGATGTTTTAGTTAAATGATCTGCACACTACACTATAGTGACACCAGAGAACAGGTCCCTGTGATGTTTTAGTTACATGATCTACATGCTACACTAAAGTTACACCAGAGAACAGGTCCCTGTGATGTTTTAGTTACATGATCT